ACTACTTGAAACATTGCCTTACCAGCGCGTTAATGGCACGAAATGTCTTATTTGTCCGTAGGGAAAAAAATCCTCTTAATAATTCAGACCACTGCTAATTCAGGATTAATTAAAAAATACACTTCAGATCCTTACACAATCTTGTAATTTGATTAGAACTCTTTCTGCTTGTCAGGTGCCATCTTGTTGAGGAGCTAGAGTGGATTATATTAAAACTGCAGGATAATTTTATTTTACACAGTTGTTTATAATATTTATTTTACACAGTGTTACATGTGAATACTAATGCTGATTAGCTAATGAAGCTGTGACTGCCATCCTGAGGGGGAGACATAGTTCAGATATTATTTCTATTTTTTTTTAAACTATGCTCATTTAAAACAATATTCATAATTGGTTTGATTAAATCAAAATATATATGAAGAAAGTAATACTTCATAAGCATTATTCTTTTTCTGGTAAGGTTTAATTATTGATTTATAGTTTATAGGTAATGATGTGAGGTGTGTGTGTGTGATTCTTCTTGACCAGGTTTTTTTCATTAAGCTATTTTATCTAAATACTATTGTTCTCACAATGTTCTTAGTAGAAAAACTGACATTTTAATAAATAAGTGATTGTTTAAAGTTCTTGTTCAGGTAAATCATCCCTTCCCCAAATTATGCAGTTATCTGTGGGTTTCCTAACTCTGATTGTCATTATTCAACATGGCTAATAATTGGGGAGGAAACAAATCTCTTTGAAAGGCACAGGTTTGGAAAAAGCTTGAGTTAAATATTTGTAAATTGTCTAGCAAGATTGCAATTCTACAATAAGCTAATAGATACAGTAAGATGTTATGATTGCCATATTTAACATATAATCAATTGACCAATATTTTTATTGCTTTCAACAGATTTAACTTTCATTATATCACCTAATGAACAATGGGAGTTCATGGGCTTTGGAAGTTACTGGAATGCTCAGGAAGACCTATAAACCCAGAAACATTGGAAGGAAAAATTCTTGCTGTTGGTATCCTTTAAAAAATGAGCTTTCTTAAGAACTTTTTTATAAATTGCATGTACAACTGCTGATTTTGTCCAGTCAATAAAAATTGAAAAGCAATATTTTATTTTCAGTCTTCTTGTTAATTTTACCTGGTGTGTTGGTTTTACAATCTCAGGAAAACTAGTACATCAGCTAAAATTAACAGCAATGCAGTATTTTTTTCCTAGCTACTTGGACACAACACGATTCATAGCAGTTGTGTTAATCTCATAGTGTCAGATAGCTCTACCGGCTTTTCTGAGAGATGTAGCCTCACATATGCAGAAGTGGCAAAATAAGTAAAAACATCTCATTATTATACTATTATAGTATAAGCTTTTTGTAATAAAGTGTGCTTCATAAAATGCTGGTTATGTAAGCATTACTGACTAATATGCTTAAACAGATCAATGCTTTGTATATGTCATTTTTCTGTTGTCTTTCTTTAAATGCTTTCTTAAGATATTAGTATTTGGTTAAATCAAGCTATTAAAGGAGCAAGAGACCGCCATGGGAATTCCATCCATAATGCGCATCTCCTGACATTATTTCGACGACTTTGCAAACTGCTCTTCTTTCGGATCCACCCCATTTTTGTTTTTGATGGAGAAGCTCCTCTATTGAAGAGGCAAACTTTGGTATGTAAGCCATATCTATCCCGTTCATAATTCCACTGAAGTAAGATTACTAAGTTCAGTGCATGTTGCTTTCATATAAGCAAATTTAGGGAAACCAAGGATTAGAGAATTTACTAACTTTGGAATTAAAATCTCCTTGCCAATGACTGACAATGGCAAGCCACTTATTTATTTATTAAATTTATAGGCTGCTCATCTAGAAAGAAGAAAGAGCATTCTTAAATTAGGCTACATCAGAAGATGTAGGGTGGGGCAGAGGGAGAAAGAAGTTCTCAAAGGCTTTCTTTTAGAAATCTAAGGCCTTACTTGGCCAGGCTGTGCAAGAGGATACAGAAGAAAAGCCATCTGATGCAGGAACCCATAGAAAGACCAGTAATTTCAATCTCCAGACCAGCACAGTTGTCTTTCACAGTCAGCAGTTTAAGAAATACTTTAAAAAGAAAGGCTTTTGTCAATCTACTGTCTTCACTGAAATAATTAAATTTAGGAAGATAACCACAGCGAAGTTAGCTTCATTGGGCTTTGCTACTTCTTCCAACAGCGATTACATTAGCATTCCAGTATGGAATAGGGCAGTGGTTCTCAACCTTTTTAATGCCGCGACCCCCAACCGGTCGTAAGTCGAGGACTAAACCGGTCGTAAGTCGAGGACTAAACCGGTCGTAAGTCAAGGACTTTCCCTGCCCGGGAGCGCCGTGCATGCGTGGTTCCGCCCCCTGCGCCGGCCGAGGCGTAGCTGGCAAGTGGCAGAGACGGAGTAGGCTGACCACCAGCTGGCCCAGCCCAAGGGATGTAAGGCATCTGCCGGAAAAGGGGGGAAAAAATGGACAAAAAAATGGCGGACAGCCTTGCTTGGCGACCCTCGTGAAATGGTCGATCGACCTCAAATGGGGTTGCGACCCATAGGTTGAGAACCGCTGGAATAGGGTCATGCCCTCATTCAGATGAGCCACCACTAATTGGGGCTTTTCCTCTGAGCAATTTCCACTCCATTGGGGTACGCACTAATCCCTTCCAGTAATTACAAGATTTGTCTATCATTAAAAATTGGTAGCTGAATATCCCTTTTTCCTTAGACTCTTCCCAATCCTTTTCCTTTTTGTGTGTTTTTAAAGTGTTAATTCCAAGGACAAGAATTACCTTTTCTTGATCTCCAAGTTGCTGGAGCAGCCTTGCTAGCAACAAGATGGGAGACAAAGGCTTTAATAAAATTAATGACTACAAAATATTTTACTCAATTTTATTTTGTTGCAGGCTAAACGAAAGCAGCAAAAAGAAGCTGCAGCCACAGATTCAAAGAAAACTAAGGAGAAGCTTTTGAAAACTTTCCTGAAACGACAAGCGATCAAGACTGCTTTAGCAGGCAAGAGGCAAGAACAACCTTAGTCTGTTTATAAATGTCCAGGGGAGGTTTCAGTTTTTAAGCATTTTGGTTTCCATAACATGAAATATCCTTGTATTCCCAGCAATGCTGAATTTCCTAGTCTTGCAGAAGTAAGAAGAGAAGAGGTGGATGACATTTATGTGCTCCCTGCCTTACAAGAAGATAAAAAAAATAGGTGAGTGAAACAAGTTAAAAAAATTAGATTATTATGTAAACATTAAGAAGCCAATAGAATCCAAAATACTCTTTCATTTTCTATGGACAAATTTTGGCATTTAGCAAACTAATTCTGTTTTTTTATGACCTAGCTCGGAAGAGGAAGAGGAAAAAGAGTGGGAAGAAAGGATGACCCAGAAGAAAATATTGCAAGTAAGGCTCAGAATTTTATATTACATTGCAATCCTTTCAAAATAAATTGCAATCCTTTCAAAACAAAACCAGTGATTATTGGCATACTGGGTGCCATACCAAAAGATCTTGAATAGCACTTAGAAAATCTGCATATTGGCAAAATTTCCATCTGTCATTTATAAAAGGCCACAATGTTTGGATCTGCAGATATACTATGCTGATACATTATGGCATACTAGGTTCTTGGAAGAACTCACTGTAAATGAAGGCCAACATCAGCTAAAGAACTGGCAGCTGTGACTTCACATTGTTGTGTATATAATAATAATCAAACCTATACTAAATTGTGTTTTTTTTCTGAATTTCATTAACTGAAATGCCAAATCCAGTTTGTGTTGACTGTGTGAAAAAACATAATAATATTAAAAGTTATTGCATTTATTTGCTGTCCAACTCCCTGTGATTCATAAGGATCATAAGGTCCATATACTGCACTGAAAAACACTAGACCACTTTACATGGCACATTAAGCTAGAACTTTGAATAACTTCTTCACGTGGTTTGTTCAATTTTGGCTTAGAACTAGGAACCATGGCTCCTCTGATATGCCAGAATTTGAAGCCAGAGTTTCTCTTAATTGTGGTTGTTTGCATTGCACATAGTGCTAGATCTGTGGGCCTTGAATGACTTCAGGGTGAGTCTCTCAGATGGCTCCAAAAGTTGATTCCAAATTGTTGTTTTTAATGACAGGATATGTATTAAATGTTGGGAGGAACTAATGTTAGCTGTGTTTGGTTTACTTTAGTTATAGTTAAAATGAATATGCAGGTAGTCCTCAACTTATAACTATAATTGAACCCAAAGTTTATGTTGCTAAGCAAGACAGTTGTTAAGTGACTTTGGCCCCATTTACAATCCACAATGCCACAAGTGTTAAGTAATTCACTGGAATGTAAAGTTAGTAACACAGTTGTTAAGTGAATCTGATTTCCCCGTTGATTTGCTTGTCAGAAGGTCACAAAAGGTGATCACATCACCTCAGGATGCTGCAAACATAAATACATGCCAGTTGCTAAGCATCTGAATTTTGATCACATAATCAAGGGTGCTGCAATGGTCATATGTGTGAAAAATGATCATAAGTCACTATTTTCAGTGCCATTGTAACTTTCAATGGTCAAATGAACTGTTGTAAGTTGAGTACTACCTATAGTTTTGTCCTTATCATACTCATTTTTGAAGTGGCTTGCTGTGTGAAGTTAGAAGATTACATATTTTAATAGCAGTGGAACTGTTAAAAGATTTTAGCATGAGAACATTGGAAGCTCATTCTAGAGTAGACAGAGCAGACAATACTAGTCTAGTTGAGTGAGAGGCTTAACCCTCCAAAAGGCAACTTCATAGGCTTGGTCCTGTCTGAAATTTAATAAAAGTACTTTATTTCTTTTTTGGAAAGTGTCCAAAGTTCAGTTTATTGTGCTGCAGGATTCGGGCAATAGCATAAATGGAGAAGAATTTTGAGGAAAGGGGAAGTGCTTGCAATCTGTAAGTAAGGAACTTGTGCATAAACATTTGGACCTATAAAATACTGGATTATTTTTTTTAAAAAAATAACTTTCATAATGTAATTCATAAGCATAGGATAGTGTAACAAAAAGGGATTAAGCTGCAAATTTGGAGGAACAAGGTTTTGATGCTGACTCTTAATGACTTCATTAATAATTTTTGCTATAATTATACTATACACTCCAATCTACTCCAGAATCCTGTTTTCCTATGATGGCCAACCAAGTGTTTCTGGGAAGATTTGTGAGGACAATATGCACCTTTCTGCATTATTTCTAGAAACTGATATTTCAAAGCATATTAACAGATCCTAGTGATAACAACCCAGGTCTCTTGGCTCTTCTTCCTTAAATATGCAGGAAGATGCTATATCGCATATCTCGTACATATTTTCATCTTGTGGTCTCTGGCATGGCATAAGAGATGCCCTTTGGTTTGTCTGATTTTTCTCTCATAATTAAAAAAAATGTTCTTAGAGCAAATTTTGTCTCAGACTTTCATGAAAACTTAAGGAGGAGATTTGTTCTTCAATCTGAAAACACTACCGTCCCGCCTTGTGCTTTGGACTTTATTGACAAAGGCTGATAACTGGGTGGACTCATTTCTAATGCTTCTCCACTCAATTCCTAATGTGTGTTTACAACATTCTGCTACCTGTTTCAGAAAACCATCTTCAATCACTGTAAACGAGGTTTGGTTAGTCCTTTTTATGCTTCTATGCTTCTAATCTGTGTGCATATCTTATGCCACTCCTTTTACAAAATGTTTTTGTGCTCCTTCCTCCTCCTTTACAAAGGAAGAATTGCTTGAAAACCCTCGTTCTGTAGACGTTGAATCAGACGATTTCTTGAGCTTGCCTCCTGAAATAAAACACGAGATCCTCACTGACATGAAGGAATTCACTAAACGAAGAAGAACAATATTTGAAGCAATGCCTGAGGTAATGGACAAACTTTCCTTTGCCTTTTCAAGCAGAAGGGTGCTTTATCTGGAGCTGATGAATCTCTGTTAGGCAATCCTGTATCTTTGTTAAGTAATAATGTTGAAAATACTTAGGTAACAATTCTCAATGTACAGGTCTCAACAGTATTTCCATAGTAAAACATTCGTACTATGACTGCTTAAATGAGGATACTTGGGAAATAGGGTATTATTATTTATCATCTCTGGATCGTTTCAGTGACAATTTACAGTAAGTGAAGTTTTCTTGTAGACAAATTTCATTATTTGGGCACTTCTGGATTTGTGCTTATCTATAGATTCTTATTACATTTTTATCTTGCTGTTCTGTAAAACAATAAAACCAGTTGACCTCATATTTAACATTTTTTAGGAAGTAAAAATCAAACATCCCTAGCATAAACAGTTAAACTACCAATTGTGAAACTAATAGCAAAAGGAGATTTTTGGTGTCTCCCTAGTGAGTTGTTTTTCATATACATACTTATGTATGTGTGCATACACACACACACATATATATACATACATATGTACACCATGTATGTGTGTGTGTATATCTCTATCTCTATATCTGTCTGTCTACACACACACATACTGTATACATATTTTGTGTGTGTGTGTGTGTGTGTGTGTGTGTTTGAGTAGAAGAGAATATCTAGCTCAGGGTTGAACTGTGGAGTTCTTGGTGTTTGCTGGCAGACATTTCATTACCCAGCTAGGTAACATCATCATGCCCAACTTACAGATAATGACAGCACTGATGATGTCACCGATTCCTGGGTAATCACACTCACTCTTACATATACAAACCTACACAAGCATGATTTATGTATTTCATTTAACCATCTAAACTATGACCCCTGAGGTCAAACCAATGAGCCCACCTCATAAAAGCAGCAAAACCTGCCCAATCTGTTATGGTTGGGGGAACAGACAGCTCTTCAATGCCTTACAAAAGCCTAACCAGCCACCTGGCTTTCCAAAGGGATGTTGTTCTGTGGGCATGTGCTGCTACAGAGACTTCCTTGCTCTCTAGTTGCAGTGTCTCCAGCCAGGGACTTAGTACAGGTAGACCTCAACTTACAACAATTCATGTGACCATTCAAAGTTACAATAGTCTGAAAAAAGTGACTTATGACCGTTTTTCACAGTTGCGACCACTGCAGCATCCTTATGGTCACGTGATCAAAATCCAGATGCTTGGCAACTGGTTCGTATTTATGATGGCTGCAGCGTCCTGGGGTTATGTGATCAGCTTTGGAGACCTGACAAGCAAAGTCGATGGGGAATCCAAATTCACTTATTAACAACTATGTTGCTAACCTAACAAATGCAATAATTCAATTAACAGTTGTGGCAAGAAAAGTCATAAAATGGGGCAAACTCACTTAACAAATGTTTCACTTAGCAACATAAATTTTGGGCTCAATTGTAGTTGGAACTCAAGGACTACCTGTATGCCACTACGGTAAGGACTTGTCATATATGGGGAAGAACTATTCCTACTCATGTTCAAGTATTTCAAAGTCAGTAGATATTCTTTCATGTTAAATGTGTTCATCCCACCAATACACAGAATGTTGGTACTATTAAAAAATGAATTATAATTTTAAAAATGATGTTGCTTTTGCCTCCAGAAATCCTTTCTTTCTGTCAGTCTGTCATTTAATTCCAGTATTTCTTTTAAGGAATCCAGTGACTTCTCCCAGTATCAGCTCAAGGGTTTACTTAAGAAAAGCAGTTTAAATCGACACATAGAAAAAGTGCAGAAGGAGATGAATGAACAACACTCTGGCCAAATCCAGCACCAGTACGAAGAAGATGGGGGTTTCTTGAAAGAATTGGAAACCAGGAGGGTTGTATCTGAAGATACATCTCATTACATCCTATTAAAAGGTATCATGGGAATGCTCCAGATTCAGAGTAATATTGAGATCCGCAATGACGGATTACTGTAACCTAGTTTTAATTAATGTTTTTAAAAATTACATTTGAATTTTACTAAGTCTCTTTTAATTTATGAATAAAATTCCTTTGTTTATGCCTTTTCTCTTTCAGGTACCCAGTCCAAAGGAGATACTTCTAGTTATGTGGCATCTGCAATCCATTCTTCTACAATGCCAAAAGATTTAAAACCTAGCAAAAATATTAACAACATGCAAGTTAAGCCAGTCTCATGTGACCTTTCAATGGAATCAACCAGTAGTACTTACTCAACACCCCCTTCTCCCAGAACAATGCTTGCTATCCAGGCTGCTATGTTGGGAAGCAGTTCAGAAGATGAGTTGGAAGATAGAAACAAGAACCGCCCTAATTTAGACAAGTGTGAGTCCATGCCCAGTGTAGGCAGAGGTAACGTGTCTCCACGAACAATCAAGGCTATTCAGCAGGCATTATGTGAGGAGGAGGAGGAGGAGATTATCACAGCACCATTTATCAATAGGACTACTATTACTCAAGGAGAAAGAATGTCCATGAAGGACCATCTTGCCAGCAGTTCAGATGAAGGAGGCCAAGTTCCTGAAGATCAGAATGAAAAACAACTTTTACCGGTACAGAAATTGGAAAGTGGAAATATTAAAAAAAGCCCAGGCATTCCTGTTGTGCAAAAAAGACTTTTGTCTGGGGCAGAAAATGAAGAAAAAAGTGTGGAAACTAGGATTTCTCAAACAGATGTAAGTCCTGGACAATGTCAGAGTCCAAACAGCAGGATAAAGCAGCCAGAAATTTCTTTGTCTCCAATTCCTTCAGTTGGCTCAAGTCGTTCAGGATTTGCACAGTTAGCCCAAACTGGAAAACTTCAGTGTTTAAAGGAATTGGCTAGCCATTCAGGAAAAAACGTATCCAGTACACAGAATGACTTTTTGTTTGCTTTAGATACCCCTAAACTTGAAGAGTGTTTGGAACATCAATCACAATCTGAAGAAAGTGATTCTGATGGTATGTCAGTTTTAACTTAACATTAGATTACTGGAATGATTTAAAAAGTATATAAAAATAAAGAAATTCTACGAACTTTCCTGGCAAGTTGGCTTGTGAATATGCATGTTCAGCTAATTCAGAGATTGGTTTTAAATTGATTGTTCAGTTTAGGAAGGCATGCATTTTTCATTTTTTAAGTTGGCTTCTTATGCTATTTTTTTAATATTGGAAAATGTTTTAGTTTCATAAAAAAAGTAAAGCTGATTTAAAATACAGATAGGACGATGTGTACATTATAACTGCAGCCAAAGTTTGTTTACTTAGTAGTGGTAAAATGCAAAGAATATTGTGGCAAGCGATGGCTAGAAGGCATCTAATGTAATGCAACAAAACTGGTTATACACTATTTATATGTTATATATATATAATGCAATATATTTGTAGGAAGTTTCATTGAAGTAGAGACTGAACCAAGTGGTGAACAAGATGGGACATCTGAGACATCGCTTGCTTCCGCTGACGAGGACGTTGGAGTGGTGGCTGAAACTTCATTGGAAATGAGAGAAGAGAGTGAGGGTGCTACAGAAAATAAATCAGAAAATGGTGAAGATGCAGAGCTTGCTATGCAACAAAATTCTGGAATGGAAAGCACAGAGAAAGCTGAAATTAATGAATGGCAAAATATTAGTATGGTAATTATTTTGCAACTATCTGTACTTGAGGAATGACAAAGCAGAACTATGAGCTGTAAACCATTTTTATTTTGGAAAATTTGTGGAGACACATGGAAATAATGAAGAATGAAATAACTTAGAAATATATAGGGATAAATATATAGAGATAAATGTTCATGTTGATGAACCTTAGAAAAGTGAGTATGGGTTTAAAGATGAAAAATCTAGATTCTGGTGAGGGCATACGTAATATTATCTATGGCATATCTTCTAGATTTAAAATAGAAATTTTATGAGGTCCTCTGGCAGGAATTGAGAGATTTGGTTTCTAATTATACCTATAAGAGGCTTAAATGAAGACACTTAACAGACCTAAGTACTTTAGATTTAACAGTGTTTTGATTTGTATCTTTGTAGGAAGATTTGGAAGTCTTGGAAACAAACTTGTCTGTTGAACAAACAGCACTTCAAGCTCAGAAACAGCAGCAGGAGCGTACTGCTGCCACCGTGACAGGGCAGATGTTCTTAGAGAGTCAGGTTTGTGTTTATGATCTATTTCATTTGTTCTCAGTGGGTGATGGAGACGAAGAGGAAAATGAGAATATTGATTGGGCAAGATTGTCTAGAGAAATCTGTATTTTAGATGGGAGGTGAAGTGCCTGAACAGTGTGGTTTGAGAAAATATTCATAGTAGCAGTAGTGTCTATGAAGATTCTCAATCATCCAGGTCATGGTTATCCCACAGGTGCTTTTTTCAGTTCAGAATCCCCTGGGCACGGGTGATGTCACTGGCTAATCCTTTCAACCTGACAGCACCTTGGTAGGTATTTCCGACACAAATGTAGTAGTAGTGGTTCAGAATTGAAGAAGCTTTTTGGATGAGAAGCGAAACATTTTCAAATTAAAAAACAATCCAGTTCCTTTTGGAAAAAAACACCTTTGGGACATAGTAGCATTAGGTTTTTCCCATGTCCAGTTTTTCCTTTTAACGTACTTGGACCTTTGAAATGTAAAAGGATCAAAAAATTCCATTGAATTCGATTAAGCTTTTAAAACAATGTATCATGTATAATATGTTAATGTTAAGTTGTATATAATACTGAAAATATTCCTTTAATTCTAAACTCAGTCGGTTGTACTATTTTTAAGCATTGTTTATTTCTTTAATTGATAATATCTAGATGCTTTATGAAGGAATGCTTAATCTTAATTCACTTCAAGTAGTTGGAATTTGTTTCCAATTCATTTTGCAAATTGTATTCAGTGGTAATAGGATCAGAGACTCAAGAATTAGATGTCTAATTCTATAAATTATGTATAGTTTTCAATCTAGAGATCAGTTCCATTCCTCATATTGAACAAACAATTCTTCCTGTTCAAAAAACAAATAGGAAGAGAGAAAACTCAAGAAGTGGAAATTTAGCCATCTTTCTCACATTTCCAGATTTCCCAAATAAATATTAAGCATCAATTTGAAATAGTTGATGCTATTTTTTTAATACTGGGGAAGAATAGTATATCCTTATTTGATAGAAAATCCAGTGTCGACACAGTTAAGACCAGAATTGAGAAATATTTGAATTCCTAATAATATGAGTTATCTTAAATGAAATCCATCAAAACAATATTTCAAATTTGAATGTATTTTGTTTATCATTTTTTGTGTTAAAGAAAATAAAACATGATGATGGAATTGAGAATTTTGGAAATGAAAATAAGCATATATCACAATTCTATTAAGCAGTACTAATAAAAAATGCTGACTTTAATATCATTTGAATCTTTACCTGTAGAGAGTCACAGTTATTTTTTTTTGGGGGGGGGGATGTATCTTAGAGTCAGTGTTGACTCCTGGCAACTGCATGGACAAGTCTGCATTTCTCCAAAGATTTCAGAAGTACTATATCTTGCCATTATTCTTTCCTAGGGCTGAAAAACAGTGACTGGCCCACAGTCACCCAGCTGGCTGTATGCTTAAGACAGAACTAGAACTCACAGTCTCCTGATTTCTAATCTGATGCCTTAACCACTACATGAAAGTGGTTTTTTATTTTTTACTTGGTGCCAATTTTAGTAATAATTACTCCTTATAAATTCATAATTACTCATTATAAATTCATCAAGAATGCTGCAAATTGTTCCTGTAACTAATTATCAGTATTAACATAACAATTTCAAATTGTAGCTGACTCATGCTTCTTTTAGGTTTTTAACAAAAACAAATATATTATCTGCCAATTAGATTCTATTATTAGACCCTAACTTTTGTGCTAGAAGATTTAGAATAAGATGAAGGAAAATAAAAGAGAATGGGAGCCTTTATTGCTCTTAGTCATCTGAAAAAAACCGTATCTGATCCATATATGCTAATCATTGCTTGTACTGGTGAATGTAGCTGATTAATTATAGAAATAATGTCCAAATGTCACTTCTAAGAGCAGTTTTAAAGATGTATCTTCTACAAGTGCATATATTCATTTCCAGGAAATTAATTAGCACATGTGATGGATTAACCGACCCTTAGCAGATTTCACCACCAACTAATTTTGGAATTGTTTTTCCTGTGCTTGTTCACAGGAACTTCTGCGCCTCTTTGGCATTCCATACATCGAGGCTCCAATGGAAGCAGAAGCACAGTGTGCTGTCTTGGATCTTACTGATCAAACGTCTGGGACAATCACAGATGACAGTGATATTTGGTTGTTTGGAGGACGTCATGTGTACAAAAACTTCTTCAGTCAAAGCAAGTACGTCGAATATTATCAGTATGTGGACTTCCAAAATCAGCTAGGTAATTGATTATATGAAACATTTATTTATTTATATTTATTTATATTTGGATTTATATCCCGCCCTTCTCCCGTAGGACTCAGGGCGGCTGACAATCTATTTAAAATACATACAAAACAATACAAATTTAAAATTAATTAAAAGGAATATTTAAATATTTGTCGAATTTTAAAATATAATTAAAACTCCCCTAAAAATTACCCTAGGCCAGTCCTGCAAGCTGGAATAACCAAGTCTTGAGGGCGCGGCGAAAGGAAGGGAGATCAGGGATAACCCTGATCTCTGGGGGCAGTTCATTCCAGAGGGTGGGAGCTCCCACAGAGAAGGCCCTCCCCCTTGGGGTCGCCAGCCGGCACTGTCTGGCTGNGATGAGGGAATTGAGAATTTTGGAAATGAAAATAAGCATATATCACAATTCTATCAAGCAGTACTAATAAAAAATGCTGACTTTAATATCATTTGAATCTTTTAACTGTAGAGAGTCACAGTTATTTATTTTTTGGGGGGTGATGTATCTTAGAGTCAGTGTTGACTCCTGGCAACTGCATGGACAAGTCTGCATTTCTCCAAAGATTTCAGAAGTACTGTAGCTTGCCATTATTTCTTTCCTAGGGCTGAAAAACAGTGACTGGCCCACAGTCACCCAGCTGGCTGTATGCTTAAGACAGAACTAGAACTCACAGTCTCCTGATTTCTAATCTGATGCCTTAACCACTACATGAAAGTGGTTTTTTATTTTTTACTCGGTGCCAATTTTAGTAATAATTACTCCTAGGTGTATAAATTCATCAAGAATGCTGCAAATTGTTCCTGTAACTAATTATCAGTATTAACATAACAATTTCAAATTGTAGCTGACTCATGCTTCTTTTAGGTTTTTAACAAAAACAAATATATTATCTGCCAATTAGATTCTATTATTAGACCCTAACTTTTGTGCTAGAAGATTTAGAATAAGATGAAGCAAAATAAAAGAGAATGGGAGCCTTTATTGCTCTTAGTCGTCTGAAAAAAACCATATCTGATCCATATATGCTAATTATTGCTTGTACTGGTGAATGTAGCTGATTAATTATAGAAATAATATCCAAATGTCACTTCTAAGAGCAGTTTTAAAGATGTATCTTCTACAAGTCCATATATTCATTTCCAGGAAATTAATTAGCACATGTGATGGATTAACCGACTCTTAGCAGATTTCACCACCAGCTAATTTTGGAATTGTTTTTCCTGTGCTTGTTCACAGGAACTTCTGCGCCTCTTTGGCATTCCATACATCGAGGCTCCAATGGAAGCAGAAGCACAGTGTGCTGTCTTGGATCTTACTGATCAAACGTCCGGGACAATCACAGATGACAGTGATATTTGGTTGTTTGGAGGACGTCATGTGTACAAAAACTTCTTCAGTCAAAGCAAGTACGTCGAATATTATCAGTATGTGGACTTCCAAAATCAGCTAGGTAATTGATTATATGAAACATTGAATCTTGGCTTCTTTTATCTTTTTCCAAATATATAACTTAATTTCAGTTGTAAACTTATGTACCCATTACACTATTCTCTTTTGAGGTAAACAATAAAACAAACAAAACAAAGGGCAGAAAAACGAAGAAGAAATAGAAAGTCAAATCGTGAGAAAAGGAAAAAGAAGAGGCTAGATCTAGTTTACGCCAAACGAATAACTATTCCTCTCCATACCATTCTGCACCGCAAAAAATTCTTGCTTCCATTTTTATCTGTCACTGTGTGATACATTCCCTTTTGTTCTTTAGATTCTTATTTCTCTCTCTTTCATGATCTTATCAGTTCAACACAACTTTTTTAGTCTGCCCCTCCCTCTTGACTTATTAATCCTTCCTCTATATACTTCTTTGTGATTTGGCCTTTATTCACTCTGTATGATTAAACAGCTTCAACATACTATTTTAAAGTGATCTCTCACTTTTCAGTCTTCAGGATGAGAACCCATTTATTCATAAAGAATAACAGAGTAACATCTCTTCTTGGTTTACCCTAAATATTTCTAAAGTATGCTATTCCTGCTTCGTTCAACCTACTTTGACGTTTTTGCTGACGTTCCCAATGCTAATTTCCATTTAACAAATTGGATATAAGCATGTTCCCCCTCAACAATTTCTCATTGGGTGGGTGTGCTCCAGCTTTCCCCTTTTAAACATTATGGCTTATGGAACGTGTGCCTTTTAAACCTTGTCCCGTAATTATGGTACCTAGGACATGTGCATAGGATTTGTAGTTGCCCCTGGAACAATCTCTTTCCCCAATATATACCAGGCCCCAATTCTGCTTGCTGTAAGTGGCTATAACCTGGCTTCCCCCCCCCCCCCAGGTATTTTGGTCCAGTTGAGCACAGTCCTGTTTTAGTTGACTGGTTATCCCTTTTGGTCATCATTTTATATTTTCTATATTGGGCTGTTTTTTTTAACATTGCATAATTAGTTTCCTTTGCTTATTGTTTGTTTTTGTTGTACTTTGCCTCCAGTTACTTTGTTTGAATCCCTGAAAGAATGAAATAAACAAATCCTTTTTTTCTGCTACATAAGAAACTTGCAGATGATGGTGGACTTGTAGAAATATAAAAGCTTTTTGGATTAAGATTTGGTGGAACATTCAAAAGATTTTTAAGAAAAAGATAAAGTTTATTCCACAATTATTTTTATTGGGTGTTATTACAGATTGTGATACTAAAGAAACTAATTTGATATTGAATTTGATAACAGCTGCAAGGTTATTGGTAGGGCAATATTGGAAGAAGGATTGCTTGCCTACTATAGAAGAATGGATGCTTAAAGTGTCAAATTTAGCAGAAATGGCTGAGATCTCTGCTTATTTGAAGGATCATTCACAAGAAAGATACATTTCAGTTTGGAGAAGATGGATAGATTATATTCAGAATAAATATGGGACTAAAATTTCCATTTAGCTTATGAGTAAATTTTAGAGTATTATTATTATTAATAGTTTATTATAGTGGAATCTTTATTAGTTTCAATTATATGATATTATTATTATTTTAGTATTAGTATTGTTTAACAATTTGGATATTGTACTGTTTAATAATTAGGATATTAATTTGTTTATGTTTTTATTATTATTATGTTTACTTTTAATTTGTTTATATTTATGCTAAAGGGAGTTAAAGCACATTATGGATTTGGTTATTTATATAGTTGGTTAATGTTAGTTAGATTATGATTATTATATTTGTAACCCTGTATTCAGCTCTGGGAAGTGGGGGAGGGAGAGGGGGGGGTTTAGGGTGGGTTGGTTTTGGGGTTTATATTGTAACTGTTATAAAACTTTTCAATAAAAAAAAGAAACTTGCAGATGATTACTTTCTTTTTCCCCCCTCAGGCTTGGATCGAAACAAGTTGATTAATCTGGCCTATCTCCTGGGCAGCGACTACACTGAGGGCATCCCTAATGTTGGCTGCGTAACTGCAATGGAGATTTTGAATGAGTTCCCTGGTCGAGAACTAGAGCCTCTCTTGAAACTCATGTAGGCAGCTTTCACTTTGGGGGCTTTCATTTTTTCCTTTCCAAAGCCTAAGTCAAGATCATTTTCTAAATATGTCTCTTTTTCTCTGTCTTCTTTTTTAGAGAATGGTGGGCTGAGGCTCAAAAGAATAAGAAAATACGTCCCAATCCATATGATACTAAAGTGAAGAAAAAACTGCGGCACATAGAAATTGCTACTGGTTTCCCAAATCCTTCGGTGGCGGAAGCTTATTTGCACCCTGTGGTGGATGAGTCAAAGGGATCCTTTACTTGGGGAAGACCTGATGTGGAACAAATTAGAGAATATCCTTTCCCCCATTTGTTCCCTTAACAAACTGTTAAAAAGAAATATATTCTAGTGCAAACATTTGCATAGGTGAACTATGCTTCAGTATGGTGGTTTCTTGTTTCCTTCTTTGCGTGGAAGAATTTAGATTCTATAGTTAGTAAATAACTTATCTGGTGATAGCAAATTTAATTTTTCTGAATAATAACTAGTAGCACTTCCTTATATATTAGTTGGTTTTTTGGTTGATGCAGAGTCTTTCCCCCATATAAATAAAATTAAGAAGCTCAGTGTATTAAATCCCATGTTTGGTTTTTATTGGTTTTAAAAAAGTGATCATTGTTTACTTGCCTGATGCAGTTGTCAGTATGAAATAATTTGGGAGTACAGTTTTTGCATGTGAA